TACATATTTGGAAATCAAACAACACAGTTCTAAATAATCCATGCATCAGAGAAGAAATTGCATGTGAAATTAGAATATATTTCAAACAGAATGATTATAATAATGCAAAATACAAAAATTTATGGGAAGCAGCTAGAGAAGTACTTAAAGGGAAATTCATATGCATAAATGTTTTATTGTTTATGTTAATGAAGAAGGAAGGTTTAAAATCAGTGATGTAGGTTTACACTTAAGCTGTAAAGAGAAGAGCAAATTAAACCAAAAGTAAGTAGAAGAAAAGTAATAACAAAGAGAAGAAATCTATGAAAAATAAAATAGTGAAAAAAAAAAGCAGAGAAACATTAAACAAAAGTAACATAATACGGGTTTTTGGTTATTTAAAAAGGTTAATGAAAATTATAAATCATCAGAAAAACTGATAAAGAAAGAGAGAAAATTAAAATGATTACAATCAGAACAAAAGAGAAGATTTCACTTTAGATCATTAGGAAAGTAAGAGAACATTGAACAAATATTGTAGAATTCCACTTATATGAAATAGCTGTAAAAGGCAAATCCATCAAGACAAAAGAAGACCAGGAGCCAGAGGAAGGGGGGAAGGTGGAATTTAAAAAAGAGAAAAAGTACTCCTACAATTTTTTTAAAAAAGCAGGAACTCAACTTTTGAAAGTGGGCAAAAACTTGATAGAAGATATTTCATTAAAGAAAATATACAGAATCCATATGCACATGAAAAGAAACTCAACATCTTTAAACATCAGTGAAATGCAAATTTAAACCACAATAAGAAAACATTAAACACCCATCAGAATAGATTAAATTAAAAAGACTGACAACTGTTAATGTTGGTAAGAATATGGAGCAGCTTTAACTCATATACATTGCTGGAGATAGAATGCTACAACCACTTTGGAAAACTTATAGTTTATTATAAAGTTGAACATACACATATACAGTAACATGGCAAATCTACTCGTAGGTATTGAAATGATAGCATATGTCCATGAAAAGTTTTCATATTAGTTTTTTTGGTGAATAGACAAACTCTTTATATCATTTTTATTCAAAATACTCCCAAACCAGAAAGAATCCAAATGCTAATCAGAAAGTCGTAGATAAATTATGTTATATACAAAAACAAACCCATTGCTGTCCACTTACAGAGAGCCTAAAAGACAGGAAAACCCACTGGAAATGGAAGCTGACTGCCACATCTTTCAGTGGGTTCGAACCACTGACTTTGGTTAGCAGTCATGTACTTTAACCACTACTCCACCAGGGTTCCTATGTTACATACATATACTAGAATATCACCAAGCAATAAAAAATTAAACTACTGATACACACAAAACATAGGAGCTCTGGTAGCATAGTGGCTAAGACACTTGACTGCTAACCAGAAGGCTGGCGGTTCAAACCCACCAACCACTCCTCGGAAATAAGATGGGGCAATCTACTTCCATAGTGATACTGCCTCGGAAACTCAAGGAGGGGTCGCTGTGAGTCGGGTCCGACTCGACGGCACATAACAACAACAACAGCACACACAAAACATGGATGAACCTCAAAAGCTTATGTTGAAACAAAAGAAGCCAGATAAAGAATACTTACTATTTGATGTGATTTACACGAAGTCTTAAAATAAGGAAAATTAATTGATGTGACTAGAAATCAGAATACCCCGAAATCAAACCATTGCCTTCTAGTCAATTCCAACTTATACCTACCCTATAGGACAAAGTAGCAAGAACTTGCAGAACAAGATTGAGGAGTATGACTCTATTCTTTTCTGTATATCCAATTTATATTTAAGTGTATGCCAGGAAAACATTCTGGAAGAGTTTAACAAGCTATTTTCGGGGTTAGGTTATGGGGACATTAGAATAAACGTGTGTATTTGTCAACAGAAACAAAGCCAAAAACTCGTTGATATCAAGTCATGGCGACCCCATATGTTACAGAGTAGAACTGCCCCATAGAGTTTTCTTGTCTGCAATCTTAAGGGATGACAGGCCTTTTCTTCCAAGGCGCCGCTGGGTGGGTACCAAAGCCAGCCTTTAGGTTACTGGACTAGTGCAAAGCATTTACACCACCCAGAGAATTTTTGTCAACAGGAGAGACTTAAAAATAAACACAATCTGGAACCCTGACGAGGGAAAAGTTCGAGGCAAGCTAAAGGTGCAGCCCCTTCACAATCCTGGGCATGCGCTCTTCGGGCCCACTGACTGCGCCCTCCTGCTCACTGCAGAGTGATCAATCAGTTCATCACGAACAACACTTGTTGGGCTTGGTGCCTGACGCGGTAGGGGGCGCTCTAAGGGCATCCGTGATCTCTGTCATCTAGGTCAAGCGTTCTAGGATGATATAAACTCTGTCCTGCATGTATTGATGACTCTGCTCATACATTAAAGAAGAGTTTTTCTGGAGCTCAAATTCTGCTATCTCTGGCCTGATCCTCCTATTAGGAGCTCTGGTAGCGTAGTGCCTAAAGCATTTGACTGCTAACAAGAAGGCTGGCGGTTCAAGGCCACCAGCCACTCCTCAGAAGGAAGATTGGGCAATCTACTTCCGTAGTGATACTGCCTCCGAAACCTAAGGAGGGGTAGCTATGAGTCCGGTCCGATTAGACGGCACATAACTACAACAACAACAACACCTGCGCAACACAGACACCAGTTCCCGGGTTGGGTCTCTTTCAGGGGTCAGGCCCTAGGCAGGATCATCAAATTCACACCTCATACAGAAGCAGGACGTTCAGGTGATTATGTGTGTGTGTGTGTGTGTGTGTTTGTATAACCAAACTCACTGCCATCGAGTCCGATTCGACTCATAGCGACCTTTGGGTTTGCGAGGCAGTATTAGGAGCTCTGGTAGCATAGTGCCTAAGGCACTTGACTGCTAGCCAGAAGGCTGGCGATTCAAACCCACCAGCCACTCCTCGGAAGGAAGATTGGGCAATCTTCTTCTGTAGTGATACTGCCTCGGAAACCCAAGGAGGGGTCGCTATAAGTCGGGTCCAATTCGACCGCACATAACAACAACATCACCACTAAGGAAGTAGATTTGCCCAACCTTCCTTCTGAAGAGTGGCTAGTGGGTTTGAGCCGCCAGCCTTCTGGTTAGCAGTTAAATGCCTTAGGCACCACACCACCAGAACTCCCATATGTGTGTGTGTGTGTGTGTGTGTATCTCCACGTTTCTTTTATAATATCCCTGCTGATTTCCGCTTGTAACTACATCTCGCGGGGGTAGGGCTCACGGGCTGGAAATTTTTTGTGTTATTCAATAACCAACTCACGTCAAAGTTCTAAGGAACTTTCACCTCCCTTCCGAGGAGCGGCTGGTGTGTTTGAACCTCCAGCCTTCTGGTTAGCAGTCAAATGCCTTAGGCACTACGTCACCAGAGCTCCCTTTTTTTGAGTTTTGAGTATATGGTAATATGGTCCCAAACTTAGCATCCACTAGTAGACCCCGCGGGGGCGGAGAGTTGCCCAAGGAAGGACAATTGTTGTAGGGCAGACCCGGGACTTGGGGTTAAGCCCTGGCAGCCAACTCCCGGCGTCATTCTTGCTACCCTGGGATTGGATCCTAGTACCCACGAAGTCGACGCGGAGCCGGTGTGCTCAGGACCAAGCAACACCGCGACCGGGTCTGGAGCAGGAGGCTCCTTTAGGTTCCCTCCCCCTGCTACCCAGTTCCCTGCCTAAACCGTCCTGTGAGCATAGCAAAGGCAGGATCTTGACTGGAATAGCTTTTGGGATTCAGGATTCTCCAACTCCCGGGCTTCGCACACAGCTTTGTGTGTACCGACAGTTGAAAGGGCTCCCCCCCACCAAGCCCATCCGATTTCTTGGGCACACGCCCTTGGTAGTTTCCCGGTGTGCTGCTCCCAAAGAGCGTTAGACTCTCTAGGAAAGAAAAAATAGAAGAAAGTCAGAATTGTGTTTTCCGGGCGCCCTGAACAGCAGCGGGAGTAGCGTGGGGAAGACATTTCAACTATGATCCAAATCTGAGACCAAAAGAAAGATGATTGACCTGGAGTTACTGGAAACGGGAAGTGCTGAAAGGGGGAGGGTGTGGGCTTCTGTGTCTTTCATTCCATCTGCCGGGAGGGTGTGGGCTTTTGTGTCTTTCATTCCAACTGCCATTCCATGCATTTAGCGTCTGCTCGAAGGCAGGCACCTGGCTACTGAGGTGATAAGGTCAAGACCAGCTAGGGAAGTTTGCCGCTGGGGTAGAGCAAATAACCTGTTGCCATTGAGTTAATTCCGACTCATAGCGACCGGATAGGGCAGAGTAGAACTACCCCATAGAGTTTCCAAGGCTGTAATATTTATGGAAGCAGACTGCCACGTTTTTCTCCCACGGAGAGGCTGGTGGATTCAAACCGACCTTCCGATTAGCAGCCGAGAGCTTTAACCACTGCACCAGCAGCGCTCATTAGATCCACAAAGCGAAACCAAATGCTGTGACATCCATGAACTGGGGTGGGGGTGGGGGGAGGATCAGAAGCTGAGAGCGGACCAAAGGCAGAGGACAGAAAGTATTCAGGTTTTACAAGAAACAAGGCAAGTGCGCTTGGAAAGAAAAGCCGTTTCTGCGCCCCCTTGAATGCGACTGTGAACCGTACGAACTACCGCTTTCCTACCAGAAGTGCTCTGGGTGGTGCCAAGTGCTGGCCCTCCTCTCTGCAAAGGGCGGACACCAGAGGTACCCAACCAAACGTCGCTCCCGGGAGCCATTTGAGTTCTACAGGCTTGGAGCGCGCAACCGTGCCAGCTGCTCGAAATCTGAACCCGGGACTACCACCAGAGGGATCCCTTGCGGGCAGTTTGGCGGGATTTCTACGAGGCCTTGGATCCATTCCGTCGGCAAGGCACTTGGAAGTCCAGGGGGGAAGGCGCTACACTCTAGGAAATACTTCGCTTGGTTCCTGATTGATTTTGCGAAAGTTTAAACCCCACCGCGAACCAGGACACCGAGCGCTTACTAAAGTCATGATGCCGCGGGAAGCGAAAGCACCCGCCACCTGCGGGGCCTGGACGCGGGCAGGGTACTCCCCTAGCCCCAGCCTTACTCGCAGAGCCCGGCCTAGGCTCTGGGGCCCAAAGATCCTTATCTTCTTCGTCGCCTTCCGGATGCTGATGCCGGTGAGTCACCCATCACCATTCCTGGCCAAGGAAGGGTACCCCAGGTGTGCCAGGGTCGGGCAGGGAGATTGGGATTTCCCGCGGGCTTGTGGTGCTTGCATGACTCTCCTGACGCAAGGACATGCCCGGGCAGGACGACCCCGTCCGTGGAGTAGATATCAGAAAACCGGGTCCCTCGGCGGTGCTGGACCCACTCAGCCCGAGAGGGACAAGAGCCCGCCACCCTCGTCCCTCTCCTCTGCAGAGCTTGTCAGATTGAGCGAAGTGTGTTTCAAAACCTGTGGAGGGAGTGGAACCGAGTTGTAAACTCCTGAGCAAGCCTCGGAGGGACCGGATTATTTATATGCAAATGTTTTAAATTCTAAAAAATAGTTGTTACACACTGTTAAAAATACAGGCAGCTGAAAAAGTAACTTTCCCACTGCTCGGAAGCACCTTCAATTCTGCCCCCTGGTGTGGCCGCTGTAAAGAGTTTGCCCAGTGCCTTCTGCCATTTTCTTGCACGTGGACGGGTGCAGGGCTGTGTAAACAGTCGTTCACAATCACGGTCAGAATTCTGGGGCTCGACCACCAGGAGGCTGGACTGTGATGCTCTAGTTTTGACAGTTTGTGAGACCACAAACCAGTCGTGGTGTTCACGCTGAAAATCTCTTGGTGAGGGCGTTGAGCTGAGCACACTTTTAGTTCTTTTCCAGGTGGATTGAGTCTGGTCAATTGCACTTTAGAAGGTTCTTTGTATGTTTAAGAAAATAATAAATATCGAAACAAGGTTACAGGAATGATGAAATTTTAAGTATTCTCATTTAGCACATTAATTCTAAGTTTAGAAAAGCAGTAACATTTTGATAGTCACAAAATAATTGTAGAATATTTTTTATTTTTACTTTTCAATTTTTTATTGTGATGTGGGTGCAAATTTACAAAGCAGATTCTTTTTACACACAACAGTTCATGCACATTTGGTTTCACTGCGCAATTACAATCCCCCACCATAAAAAGCTTTCCTCCCACCTCCTCCCTGTGACTTCTTTTCTATGCATTCCTGTCTGTGCAGCTTTCCATCTATGCAAATGCTGCCTTTCTGATGTGTCGTGGTTGATTGATCTAGGGGTTATGCTTGCTTCATAGAATGACTTTGGGAGTATTCCATACTTTTCTATGTTCTGGAATGGTTCGAGTAATGTACTTGTTCTCTCCTTTCTGAATGAATTAACTCTCCAGTGAAGACTTCTCTGCCAGGACTTTTTTTTTTTTTTTTTTTGGTGGTGGTGGGGTTATGACTTGCTCAATTACTTCTTTTGTTATGGGTCTCTTCAAGTATTCTATCTCAGACTAGGTTAGTTTAGGTAGGTCTTGTGTTTCTAGAAATTTGTGTTTCTAGAATTCTCTTCTAGGTTGTTGAATCTGTTGGAGTACAGTTCTTTATAATATTCTGTTATTATATTTTTTATTTCAGTTGGTTCTGTTGTGATGCCACCCTTTTCATTCATTAGTGTTATTTGCATCTTCTCTTTCTTCTCCTTTGTTAAATTTGCGATTTTGTTAATTTTTTCAAAGAACCAGCATCTTGTTAATTTTTTCTCTCTCTTTTGTTTTTGTTTTCTGCTTCATTTATTTCTGCTCTCATCTTTATTATTTCCTTTCTTCTGGATATTGTAGGTTTCTTTTGTTGCTCTTTTTCTAATTGTTGGAGTTGTTGAATTAAAATGTTGGTTTTGATTCTTTATGCTTTTTTGATGTGTGCATTTATTGCTATAAATTGATCTCTGAGTACTGCTTTCACTGTGTCTGAAAGGTTTTGGTAGGTTGTATTTTCATTCTCATTTGTTTCTAGGAAATTTTTATTTCACACTTTATTTCTTTTGTTACCCAGTAGTTTTGAGCAGTGTATTATTCAGTTTCCACATATTTGATTTTTCTCACTTGTTCTTCCTATTAACCAAAAAACAAATCCACTGCTGTGGAGTCAACTTTTTCTCATAGCAACCCTTCTTTGGGTTTCCGAGGCAGTATCACTACAGAAGTAGATTGACCAATCTTCCTTCTGAGGAGTGGCTGGTGGGCTTGAACTGCCAGCCTTCTGGTTAGCAGTCAAATGCTTTAGGCACTATGCCACCAGAGTTCTTTGTCTTCCTATTACATAAATAGAAATTATGATTTCTATTTTTATGGTATTGTGATCTGAGAAGATGCTTTATAGTATTTCAATGTTTTTAAATTTATTGAGGCTTGTTTTGTGGCCTAACATATGGTCTATTGTGGAGAATGATCTAAGTGCACTGGAGAAGAATGTGTACTGTGCTTTTGTTGGGTGGAGTGCTCTGTATATGTCTATGAGGTCAAGATGGTTGATTGTGGTGTTGTTGAGTTCTTCTGTATCTTTGTAGAGTTTTTTTTCCTAGTTGTTCTGTTCTTCCCTGAAAGTGATGTGTTAAAGTCTCCTACTATTATTGTAGAGTTGTCTGTTTTCCTTTCAATTCAGTTAATGTTTGCTTTATGTATTTTGGAGCTCTTTCATTGAGTGCATAGATATTTTTTATGGTAATATCCTCTTGGTCAATTGCGCCTTTTAACATCATATAGTGCCCTTCTTTGTGCCTTATGCTACTTTTCACCTTGAAGTCTATTTTTATCAGAAGTTAATATTGCCACTCCTGTTCTTTTTTGGTTGCCTTCAGCTTGATTTTTTTTCTCCCCACCCCTTGATTTTTAATTTTTTTTTCTTTATGTCTAAGGTGGGTCTCTTATATGCAGCGTATTGATGGGTCTTCTTTTCTTATCCAGTCTCCCACTCTCTTTCTCTTGATTGGTACATTTAACCCATTCACATTGAATGTGATTAGTGCTAGATATGAATTTACTGCTGTCATTCTATTGTGTTTTTTTGTTGTGTTGTTGGTGATTTCTTTGCTCCAAATATTTTTCTGTGCTGAGTTCATTTTATTATCAAGTGTTTTTTTCTCTTTTCTTCATTATAATTGTTTTTGTGTTTACTAAGCCCTTGTGGTTTTCTTCTTTCTTAGTTTGGTTAGAAAGATTGTTAATTTTCTTTGTGATTACCCTGAAGTGAATTCTTATCTCCCTAAGTTTGGAACAATCTGTTCTATAAAGACATTGTCCTGACTTCCTCTCCACTTGGAAGTTTTGTAATTAAAACTTTTATTCCATCTATTTGCTTTGTTGTTGGTGTTGTTTATAGATTGTCTCCCCTTGTTCTCTGTTTACATTTTTTTTTTTTTTTTCGTGAGCTTATTTTGAGACTCTTTTTCTGGGTTGGTTTCTAGGTGATGGTGTCAGGTGTCTTGATTTTATTTTAATTTTTTGTTCTCTGTTGTGAGTTTTCTATTGGAAAGACTCTCTTTGCATTTCTTGTAAAGTTGGTTAGGTTTTCACAAATTCCCTTAATTTCTGCTTATCTGGGAATGTCTTGATTTCACCCTCATATTTGAGGGATAGTTTGGCTGAATATATAATTCTTGGCTGGCAATCCTTTTCCTTCAAGGTTTTGTATATGCCATCCCATTGCCTTCTTGCCTGCATGGTTTCTGCTGAGAAATCAGAGCTTAGTCTCATTGGTTGCCTGTTGTAGGTAACATTTTGTTTTTCCCAAGCTGCTGCTTTGGTTTTGGAAAGTTTGATTATGATATATCATGGTGACTTTCCCTTGAGGTCTATCCTGTATGGGGTTCAGTGAGCTTCTTGTGGATATTTTTTTCTTCTTTCATGATATGGGGGACATTTTCTGTTACCAAGTCTTCAACAGTTTTCTCAGAGTTTTTTTTTTTTTTTTCCCTCTCATTCTGGGGTTCCTATCAGGAGTATGTTATTTCTTTTCATGTTATCCCATATAACTCTTAGATTTTCTTCATTTCTCTTAAATCTTTGTTCTGATCCTCATATTTGTTGGCATCAAGGGATTTGTCTTCTAGCTAGGAAATGCATTCTTCAGCCAAGTCTAGTCTGTTCTTTTGTCATTTCAATATGTTATCTGTCTCTGTAATTTTAGTGTTCATCTTCTGAATTTCTAACTGCTGTTTTTCTATGATTTCTAATTGTAAATTTATTTTGTTATTTTGCTCTTGAATGATTTTCCTGAATTCTTAATGGTGCTGTCTGTCTTCTCAGTTGCTTCTGTTTATAGTTTCCTTGAGCTCTTGGAGAGTCCTATGTATATATCTTTTGAATTCCTAATCAGATATTTCTATTATTTGTTCTGCCTCAGAGAGATTACTTAATTCTTTATCTTGGACACTTGTTTCTACTATCTTGTCTTTTTTTTTTTTTTTTTTTTTTAAGTTGTCTGTCATTTCCTAGACATTTTGAAGTTGTTGTCTTTATTTGTTAGTTATGTACTGATTTTTTTTTAGCCCTAGTTTTATGTTTTACTATATCTGGAAGTGTGGAGCAGGTATACTTCTTTGGTTATTAACTCAGCTGCACTGGCTCACTTTCCAACTTTCTCTGTTGGTGGAATCACTGGTGAGGATGTGGGTGCACGTCTCTGTTCATCATGAAGAGGATTTAGAGTTGGGGTGAGCAGTTGTTGTCCACCATCTCTCATTGATCCTGTGGTGCAGGTGTTACTTGTCCATTGGGTGAGATGGTTGGTGTAGTGGCTATGGCTGACTCATGGAGGGTTAATATGTTCCTCCCATTGGATGAGAAAGAGGGGAAAAAAATCCAAGGAGAAGAAAGAGAGATTAAAAGATGAAATAGATAACAAGAAATAGGGAAAATAATATAAGAAAAAGAGAGAAAATAAAAATGGGCAGGTAAGAGGAATAAATGTTTGGCAGAAATGAAAGATGAGCAGCAAAGGGGCAAGCGATCAGATAGAAAGGACAAAAAAGTTGGGCAAGAGCAAAGGAGTAAAATGAAGAGAGGATAAGGTATTTGAGGAGGAGTCCCTCCAGTTATGTTTAGCCAGTGGCTCTGGGAGCTGGTCACTGTGGCAGAATCTGTTCACTCACTGGAGCACCCACACAGGAGGAAGGAGACTGATACAAGAAGCGACCCCTAGGGGAGAAAGCCAGAGCTGGTTTTCTGTGCTTAGTGTGAGATAATTCAGTCAGCAATGCAGGGATGGAGAAGGACAACCACAGCCCCTGATTCTGTTTTGAGCAGTCTGCCAATAGTGGCATTCAGCCATCAATCAAAGCCCTGCATTTCAAACTTGCCAGTTGCCCATAAGGCAAAAGGACTACCCTCCTCCACACAGATCCACAAGTCTCAAAATCCCAGGCTTCAATTGTACTCTGTGCTAAAAAGGGTTACTAAAAGTTGGATATGCATCTGTCAATTGGTTGTACTGTGGTGGCTTGCATGTTGCTGTGAGGCTGGAGGCTATGCCACAGGTATTTCAAATACCACCAGGGTCACCCATAGTGGATAGGTTTCAGCAGAGCTTCCAGACTGAGACAGGCTTAGAAGGAAGGGGCCATCCACTTTTCAAAGAATTGGTCAGTGAAAACATTATGAATGGCAGTGAAACACTGTCTGATATATTACTGGAAAACTTTATGAGTAGCCTGAAACATTGTCCAATTTAGTGCCAGAAGATGAGCTCCTCAGGTCAGAAGGCATTCAAAATACATCTGAGGAGGAGCTGCCTCCTCAGAGTAAAGTTGACCTTAATGATGTAGATGGAGGAAAGCTTTCAGGACCTCCATTTCCTGATGTGGCATGACTCAAAATGGGGAGAAACAGCTGCCAACATCCATTAGTAATTAGAACATGAAAAGTATGAAGTATGAATCTATAGGAAAATTGGAAGTTGTCAAAAATAAAATGGAACACATAAAGATTAATATCCTAGGCATTAGTGAGCTAAAATGGACTGGTTTGGGCCATTTTGAATCAGACAACCATATGATCTACTATGCTGGGAATGACAAATTGATGAAGAATGGTGTGGCATTCATTGTCACCAAAAATGTTTAAAATCTGTCCTGAAGTAAAATGCTGTCAGTGATAGGATAATATCCATATGCCTACAAGGAAGACCAGTTAATGCTACTATTATTCAAATTTACACACCAACCACCAAAGCCAATGACGAGGAATTGAAGATTTTTTACCATTTTCTGCAGTCTGCAATTGACCAAACATGCAATCAAGATGTGTTGATTATCACTGGTGATTGGAATGCAAACGTTGGAAACAAAGAAGAATCACTAGTAGTTGGAAAATATGACCTTGGTGATAGAAATGACACTGGAGATTGCATGATAGAATTTTGCAAGACCGGTGACTTATTCATTGCAAGTACATTTTTCAGCAACACAAATGGCAGCTATCCATGTGGACTTTGCCACATGGAATACACAGGAGTCAGGTCAACTACATGTGTGCAATGAGGCAATGGAGAAGCTCAATATCTATAGCCAGAATGAGGCCAAGGGTTAATGTGGAGCAGATCATCAACTGCACACATGCAAGCTCAAGTTGAAGCTGAAGACAATTAGAACAACTCCATGAGGGCCAAAATATGACCTTGATTATATCCCTCCTGAATTTAGAAACCATCTAAAGAATAGATTTGGTGCATTGAACACCAGTGACCGAAAACAAGACAAATTGTAGGATGACATCAAGAACACCATCCACGAAGAAAGCAAAAGGTCATTAAGAAGACAGGAAAGGAAGAAAAGACCAACATGGATGTCAGAAGAGACTGTGAGATTTGGTCTTGAATGGAGAGAAGCTAAAGCAACTGGAAGAAAAGCTAAGATAAAGATATGAACAGATTTCAAAGAGCAGCTCAAGAAGACAAAAATCATTGTAATGAAATGGACAAAGACCTGGAGTTAGAAAACCAAAAGGGAAGAACATGCTCAGTATTGCTCAAGCTGAAAGAACTGAAGAAAAAATTCAAGCCTCAAGTTACAGTATTGAAAGGTTCTACGGGCAAAATATTGAATGATGCAGGAAACATCAAAAGAAGATGGAAAGAATACACTGAGTCACTGTACTAAAAAGAATTGGTTGATGTTCGTCCATTTCAGGAAGTGGCATATGATTAAAAACTGATGGTATTAAAGGAAGAAGTCAAAGCTGCACTGAAGGCATTGGCAAAAAACAAGGCTCCAGGAACTGATGGTATACCCATTGAGTTGTTTCAAAAAACGGATTCTGAGCTAGAGGTACTTACTAATCTTTGCCAAGAAATTTGGAAGACAGCTATCTGGCCAACTGACTGGAAGAGATCCATATTGTATCCATTCCAAAGAAAGGTGATCCCACAGAAAGTGGAAATTATCAAACAATATTATTACTATCACATGCAAGTAAAATCTTGCTGAAGATAATTCAAAAATGTTGCAGCAATATATTTGACAGAGAACTTCCAGAAATGCAAACTGGATTCAGAAGAGGATATGGAATGAGGGATATCATTGCTGATGTCAGATGGATCTTGGCTGAAAGCAAAGAATATAGAAAGATGTTTGTTTATGTTTTATTGACAGTGCAAAGGCATTCAGTTGTGTGGATCATAACAAATTATGGATAACATTGAGAATAATGGGAAATACAGAATACTTAATTGTACTCATGAGAAACCTGTACATAGACTAAGAGGCTGTTCAAACAGAACAAGAGGATACT